CCCCTAGTCTGTCATACAGACCCTGAAACAACATCATTGTCCCTACTGCCAAGCCTCCTAGTCTGTCATACACACCCTGAAACAAATATATCCAAGAAAGCCCATGCAAGTCAAGAATATGTTGCAAGTCTAGATTACCACAGTTTTAGAAAATGAAGAATGTCTCTGGGCTCCTTTTCATTATATTTAATGATTTGTTTTTATGAACAGCATTTTTCTGTAAAATATGTTCATTTCAGAGACTAGATGTCAGTCTAAAGCACTCCCTGCAATGCCAAAGCCCTAAATGAAGCAAGTCTAGATTTCCTCAGGTTCTGAATTTCCCATTTCACTGGGGCTCTTTTTCAATTTAAATGGGTTTATTTGTTACTATTAAAATTATATATTTTCAGAGACTAAGCATTAGTCTACATCCTCACTCACACTTTTAGTTTTCAGCTAAGTAATCCCGCCACCTGACTACCTGACTGACTTTGGTAACATTTGACAGCTGTCTATGCTACACTCCAGCCTGGACAAATGCACCTCATTATCAGGCAATTTATGACCAGAAATACATGGTTGTGTATATTTACTTTCCTGACTTGCTCCAAGTGTTGCTCCCAGATAAGACACAGGGAGTTCATGTTCAGCCCATTTCCTCAAAACTGTGGTGAAAATACTTAACCATTTAACTGCTGAAACATGAACTTGGGAACAGGTTAAGACGCCTGAGGGTAATTTTATTTATTGTACAAATATTGACATGACAGGAAAGAGATTATTAATGCAGAATTAGAAAATCTGAAAAGTGAGTGTAGAAAGACAACCTTCTAAATGCCAGTCCTAATGCAGTCTCTTAATACATGTGTGAATGAATGAGAGCTTATATGAAAGGAGCTTTGAGTTATACATTACACTGAATATATAGCATGGAATAGGTGATGAGCAAAATAATAATATATCGATATAAACCATGCTTCTTTATAGGTTCCCAAAAATGAGGATTGGCTGGTCATCATATGTATATATCCTGTCTGACTGACTGACTGACTGACTGAGTTTAGTTTTACGCCGCTTTTAGCAATATTCCAGCAATATCACGGCGGGGGACACCAGAAATGGGCTTAACACATTGTGCCCATGTGGGGAATCGAACCCGGGTCTTCGGCGTGATATCCTGTCTGAAATAACCATGTGTATTTTCATGCATGGCCTCTTAGAAGATTTCTCCTGTAAAGGATCTCACAGTACGTCTCAAACAAGTGATCTCACAGTACGTCTCAAACAAGTGATCTCATGGTACATGTCACAAACAAGTGATCTCACAGTACGTCTCAAACAAGTGATCTCATGGTACATGTCACAAACAAGTGATCTCACAGTACATGTCTCAAACAAGTGATGTCATGGTACGTCTCAAACAAGTGATCTCACAGTACGTCTCAAACAAGTGATCTCATGGTACATGTCACAAACAAGTGATCTCACAGTACATGTCTCAAACAAGTGATGTCATGGTACATGTCTCAAACAAGTGATCTCACAGTACGTCTCAAACAAGTGATCTCACAGTACATGTCTCAAACAAGTGATCTCACAGTACGTCTCAAACAAGTGATCTCATGGTACATGTCTCAAACAAGTCATCTCACAGTACATGTCTCAAACAAGTGATCTCACAGTACATGTCTCAAACAAGTTATCTCACAGTACATGTTTCAAACAAGTTATATCATGGTACATGTCTCAAACAAGTGATCTCACAGTACATGTCTCAAACAAGTGATCTCACAGTACATGTCTCAAACAAGTGATCTCACAGTACATCTCAAACAAGTGGATCTCACAGTACTCATGTACATCTCAAACAAGTGATCTCACAGTACACAAGTGATCTCACATTACATGTCTCAAACAAGTGATCTCACAGTACATGTCTCAAACAAGTGATCTCACAGTACATGTCTCAAACAAGTGATCTCACAGTACATGTCTCAAACAAGTGATCTCACAGTACATCTCAAACAAGTGATCTCACAGTACATACATTAAACAAGTGATCTCACAGTACATGTCTCAAACAAGTGATCTCACAGTACACACTTCAAACAAGTGATCTCACAGTACATGTCTCAAACAAGTGATCTCACAGTACACACTTCAAACAAGTGATCTCACAGTACACGTCTCAAACAAGTGATGCCACAGTACATGTCTCAAACAAGTAATCTCACAGTACATGTCTCAAACAAGTGATCTCACAGAACATCTCAAACAAGTTATCTCACAGTACATGTCTCATCTCACAGTACATGTGATCTCACAGTACATGTCTCAAACAAGTGATCTCACAGTACATGTCTCAAACAAGTGATCTCACAGTACATGTCTCAAACAAGTGATCTCACAGTACATACATGTCTCAAACAAGTGATCTCACAGTACATGTCTCAAACAAGTGATCTCACAGTACATGTCTCAAACAAGTGATCTCACAGTACATGTCTCAAACAAGTGATCTCACAGTACATCTCAAACAGTACATACATTAAACAAGTGATCTCACAGTACATGTCTCAAACAAGTGATCTCACAGTACACACTTCAAACAAGTGATCTCACAGTACATGCATCAAACAAGTGATCTCACAGTACATGTCTCAAACAAGTGATCTCACAGTGACATGTCTCAAACAAGTAATCATGCATCAAACAAGTGATCTCACAAAACAAGTACATGTCTCAAACAAGTGATCTCACAGTACAAGTGATCTCAAACAAGTGATCTCACAGTACACACTTCAAACAAGTGATCTCACAGTACATGTCTCAAACAAGTGATCTCACAGTACCTGTCTCAAATCTCTGAAGTGAAACAAGTCTCACAGTACACTCTCAAACAAGTGATCTCACAGTACATGCATCAAACAAGTGATCTCACAGTACATGTCTCAAACAAGTGATCTCACAGTACACTCTCAAACAAGTGATCTCACAGTACATGCATCAAACAAGTGATCTCACAGTACATGTCTCAAACAAGTGATCTCACAGTACATGTCTCAAACAAGTGATCTCACAGTACATGCATCAAACAAGTGATCTCACAGTACCTGTCTCAAACAAGTGATCTCACAGTACATGCATCAAACAAGTGATCTCACAGTACACACTTCAAACAAGTGATCTCACAGTACATGCATCAAACAAGTGATCTCACAGTACCTGTCTCAAACAAGTGATCTCACAGTACATGACATCTAAATCCACAAAGTACCTGGGTGCTGTTGTACAAAGCGATCTTAGTACTAAGGTGATCGTAACTCCCATACCATAACACAGACTTACGACTGGTGTACCGCTAAGGTTGCTTTGTACAAAGGCACCCTGGCATACATCAGTGTGTTATTGAGGTCAACTTGAAAGTGGGGCTCAAACAAGTATCTTGTTTCACTTTAACTGTTGCAAAGTAGCAAGGTATTGTCTCTGCAACGATCGCCTCCCCTGACTAACTCTTCGCCAGATGCTGCCAGTTTCCCAGTGTTTACCTGCAGAGTGTGGCAGAATAGCAATGGGAGTTACTGTATATCTAGTTTTACTTTTGACCTTCTCAGAGTATATCTTGATCACAAATCCTTTTTATCTTGGAGGATATATAATATAAATATACGGAATATGATATTTATCCTTTAGGTCCAACTCAATACTGGTTTGTTTTACAGATGCTACAAATGAGATGCTGTCTGATAATATACCAATTTTACTACTTTATGTGTCATTTGTACTGTTTAAATTTCAAAATCAGTATCTATTGGCAGAAAATATGACATGAGCTGACAAGTAATTGATACTTTGTCAATATGTCTGATTTCAAGTAATATCTGTTTTATGCTTATAGTCATCTGTACAATTAACATCATACAATTTTATGTTTTAGCTCTATACTAAGCCTATTTACATATTAACCTGACATTATTGCGAAACAAGAAATACAACAGGTCAGAAATCCTGTAGCCTTATTTTTATTATTCTGTTCAAAACACCAACATTTAGTATGTAACTGTCATGAAAGGACATCTTTGTTAAGCTAGTGTTTAAGAAGATTAATTAGGTTGCTCTAAGAACACTCGGTCTAGCCCGATGGTTAAAGCATTTGCTTGTGACACCAAAGAACCAGGTTTGATGCCTCACATGGACATCATGTGTGAAATCTGTTGCTGGTGTCCCCATGATGATATCGCTGGAATACTGCTAATAGCAGCATAAAAATATACTCACTCAGTCACTTACTCACACTCTAAGAACACTCTGATCGTTGCTTCACAGAACACAACAGTTTTCCAACAAACTCAAAAAAGTTCAAATCTTTCCAAATAGCTAGCTTGCACACCTGTGAAGATGGGAGTTTAGAACTTAATTCCAGCAACCATTGCTTGTTGTTAGAGGAGACTGACCAGATGCCTGACTTGTTATAGGCATGTAAGTGTTCCCCAAATATGCAGATGTCAATCACTGGATTGTCAAAACTCCTTTTTATAAACACTGCCGTCATCAATCTTGACAGAGAGCCGGTCAAAAACATGATCAGTTTCATTTGGTCCACAAGTATGACTTTTAATTCTGACCAAGATTGTACACTCACCGGCAATTAAGTTAATCGAAGGAAATATGATTTGGTTTGAATAGTTCAGAGATAAATGACAAGTCTATGGTACATTTCTTGGCTGACGATGTGTGTCTGTGTGGGATTTTTTTCACATCTGGCAAGTTTTACTTTTAGACCTATGACGTCAAACTTAAATTGCTACACAACCCTTAAAATATTTCAGCTCACACAGGAAAACATATTTCGTACTCTGTACTGATGACAATGCTGCAAGAACAACGTTACCACTAACGCTGGCGCTACCGTCGCGCGTTTTACACGTGCAAATGTCTGTGCAGAGTGATCGTCGGTTATTTTGAGAATTAACATACCCTGAAGCAAGTCGACGTTCATGTTACAACAACGGGCCTACCTTAGTTCACGAGCTGGAGTATTTAGAGCCAGTCTGCCTCGGATTTCTCATCACACGAGGAGTGGGGGAACTGAAATGGAAAGCAGCCCATCTGCAATAGACACTGGTCGTCTGCTTCCATTCAGGAACGGTTTATTGTTCGTCGAGGGGTGCAGCACCACTTTTGTTTTAAATTGGGAGGGTTCATATTTGTGAAATTACTGTATGCATAACATATATTTGTTCTAAGCATACGAGGTCATTAGTTACCAAGAATTTACTTACAGTTTAAGTTTGTTGGCATTCATTCACATCGGCGATTTTTTTTCAACTTTCAAAATAATATTCCCATCACCTGTGATGCCATGTGTTCAACCGAAAGCATATGCACGCTCGCGCTTTTGCTAGTGAACCCGATATGTCAAGATAGTGTATTTAGAACCACGGCTTATCGCGCTGAGGTGTAGAGTGGTCCCGAACCATTTCCTTTTAGTTAACATATGATTACTTATAAATTTCAAGTAAATAAAAAATAGGCGTCTTTTTCTGAAAAGATAAAACACACATAATGTCTTTATCTGTGACCATCGAACTGTTGATAACCTCTCCTTTTACCATGTAAAACGTTATCTTGTGTTTTCAAAGGTGTACGTCATTTCGGCAGGTACAACCATAAATAAGCTGCCATAATAGTACCGTGTTTCTGTTTTTTCACCGTAGCGATTTGCGATGAAACTGTTGTAAAACCTTGGCCACAACATCTGAACTGGCTAGATGTATTGTTACTCACAACACTGATTCAGTGGTTGTTGTTATCTGTCTGGAGCCTCCTCCCAGCTTCTGTGAAAATAGTTTGGTGAAAGCGGCTAAAAGTCAGAACCTCTGAAAACGTGGTTGTTATTTTTACAGTGTGTCATGTTCCCGGTGATTATAGCAACAACTGACACCTGACATGCAAAACCATACCTGTGTTGTATTTGGAAACAAAAAGCTTCCTAAGTAACTTTACTGGTATTGTAAGAAGTTTTAAGATACATTACCATGGTTACGATAAACCATAATACAAGCAGGTTAAAGAACTAGCAAGACTAGAACTAGTCTATTTCGCATTTTGATTTTGAATATGGGGTCAAGAAAACATACGAATCTATTCTCACTCAGACCGCAACGTCCTGTAAATATGAGAACTGTGTTTAATCTGATTGTGGTGTCGCCAGGATAAAATCAGTTCTTGCTACATCTGAGAACGTTTATCTTGTGCAATTTTCGACCGTTCTACTTTTTATCTTGAATCACGTGTACGATACAGTGTTGCAAAACGTGATTCTTCAAGCAGACACACATTTATGTTCATGGTGGCATGTGCTAAGATAAGGAAGCAACGAAAATAAATGTTCAGTTACATTTCCAAGGTTTCACTTGAGCTGGTATAGTGTTTAAAGGCTTACTCCAAAAAACGGAGTCATGAATATTCAAAGTTTCCTGTTGGTGTACTCAGTCCATTGAGTGAGAGCGTGATTTTAAACACCAGTCGGCAATATGACTGCAGCTGGCATTTCATGACGCCTTCTAAACAATCGAGTATGGACCAGGCAAACCAGTCTCGGCAAAGAAACTACCATCACCACGTGCCATCAGCTCATGCACAGAGGCAGGCCATCCGAATGATGCTTTCAAGAAGCCGATTACCTAAGATATATATTTAATTTGATCTGGGGTGGTTAGGTCTTATATTTGGAGAGACTGTAACTTTGGGGAAGCGACCTTCAACAGGGGCTACCCCTGATGAACATTTCCCCCAATCTTTGGACTTCATGATATATGTGCACACCCACACCCTCTCTCCAAAATCCTGGATCCGCCCCTGTTCTAGCGTCAACACTCGGTCGCGTGTTAATATTCGAGGCTGGCAATCCAATGGCAGATGGCAAGAATAACTTCCCATGCTCCCGCCACACGCCATGACGTCACCCCAATATACTGTACTCTTCCCATACCATGACATCATCCCAATATACTCTCTTCACACGTCATCCCAAGATAAACTCTTCATAGGTCAAGACGTCATCCCTATATGCTCTCTTCACATGTCATGGTGTCTGCAAGACAAAATTGAGACAGACCACATAGAGACAGCTAGACAGAAGTTAACAAACCATATAGGTTGGTATATCACAAACGAGAGAAGGTCACGTAATGATAAACTTGAGGTCATGTGGTAAATGATGGGAATGAGTACATGCATCATTAATGGCTCTTGAATCACAGATCATAAAGTATAGGCGGCAGGGTATTTCCCAGCAGTGACCACTACCAACACCTTTTGAACACTTCCCCCTACCCCTGCTTCACACAAAGACAGATGCAGAATCTGTCCTGCTCATCAGTAAACAGATTCAAATAACTTTAACACAGGAATTCAAGTTTCTCTTGGCTTTTATGTCCGTCCTTTGCTGGAGACGAAAAAAGTAATATTCACGAATTAACTCCCTGTTATACTTGATCTTTCTTCTCCAGTTTCAGACGGATATGTGATGATACTATCGGCATTATGAGCATGCTTTATGTTCTACCAGCAGTTTGGGGTAAACTTCACCGATGTCAAAGGATGCCTTCACGACCTTTCCACAATTTAAGGCTGCTTGTAACTCTATTCCAGACTTCCAGGGCATGACAGCCTGTGAGAGGAAACCCTGCAGTGATGTAGATGCAAGCGCAGTGACGAAACACACGAGCACATGTGTGGTACCCAGACACCTAGAAACATAGTTTGAGTGATATGGGAATCAAACTCACCATAGTTAAAATTCCCTTGCCCAAGACGACTCGGCAATTTGTGGTAATGAACAGTAAATTTACTAGCTGTTTTGCCTACTGGTTCCAAACTTATTGGTCCATTGACTATGTTGGCATAAACTAGTTGTATAAACTACTGGTTCTTTGACCATGTGGGATCAACCGTTGTATAAATTACTAGCTCTTTGACCATGCTGGATCAACTTTTGTATAAATGACTGGTTCTTTGACCATGTGATGATCAACTTTTGTATAAATTACTAGTTTTTTTACCATGTGGGATCAACTTTTGTATAAATTACTAATTCTTTGACCATGTGGTGATCGCTAGTTGCATAACCTACTGGTTCTTATAAAATGTGGTGATCAGTCCTGTAACCTACTGGTTCCAGATTTACTGGTTCTTTGACCATGTGGTGATCAACTAGTCCTGTAACCTTCTGGTTCCAGATTTACTGATTCTTTGACCATGTGGTAATCGACTAGTCCTGTAAACTACTGGCTTTTTGACCATGTGGTGATCAACTAGTCCTGTAACCTTCTGGTTCCAGATATACTAGTTGTTTGTCCATGTGGTAATCGACTAGTCCTGTAAACTACTGGTTGTTTGTCCCTGTGGTGATCAACTAGTCCTGTAAACTATCGGTTGTTTGTCAATGTGGTGATCAACTAGTCCTGTAACCTTCTGGTTCCAGATTTACTAGTTGTTTGTCCATGTGGTAATCGACTAGTCCTGTAAACTACTGGTTGTTTGTCAATGTGGTGATCAACTATTCCTGTAACCTTCTGGTTCCAGATCTACTGGTTCTTTGTCCATGTGGTGATCAACTAGTCCTGTAACCTTCTGGTTCCAGATTTACTGGTTCTTTGACCATGTGGTGATCAACTATTCCTGTAACAACTTGTTCCAGACCTACTGATTCTTTGACCATGTGGTGATCGACTAGTCTTGTATCCTACTGGTTCCAGATTTACTGGTTCTTTGTCCATGTGGTGATCAACTAGTCCTGTATCCTACTGGTTCCAGATTTACTGGTTCTTTGTCCATGTGGTGATCGACTAGTCCTGTAATCTACTGGTTGTTTGTCCATGTGGTGATCAACTATTCCTGTATCCTACTGGTTCCAGATTTACTAGTTGTTTGTCCATGTGGTGATCGACTAGTCCTGTATCCTACTGGTTGTTTGTCCATGTGGTGATCAACTAGTCCTGTAAACTACTGGTTGTTTGTCCATGTGGTGATCGACTAGTCCTGTAAACTACTGGTTGTTTGTCCATGTGGTGATCGACTAGTCCTGTAAACTACTGGTTCTTTGTCCATGTGGTGATCAACTAGTCCTGTAACCTTCTGGTTCCAGATTTACTGGTTCTTTGACCATGTGGTGATCAACTAGTCCTGTATCCTACTGGTTCCAGATTTACTGGTTGTTTGTCCATGTGGTGATCAACTAGTCCTGTAAACTACTGGTTGTTTGTCCATGTGGTGATCGACTAGTCCTGTAAACTACTGGTTCTTTGTCCATGTGGTGATTGACTAGTCCTGTAAACTACTGGTTGTTTGTCCATGTGGTGATCAACTAGTCCTGTAAACTACTGGTTACTGGTTCAGATAGTCCTGTAAACTGGTTCCAGATTTGACCATGTGGTGATCGACTAGTCCTGTAACCTACTGGTTCCAGATCTACTGGTTGTTTGACCATGTGGTGATCAACTAGTCCTGTAACCTTCTGGTTCCAGATTTACTGATTCTTTGATGTGGTGATCAACTAGTCCTGTAAACTACTGGTTCTTTGTCCATGTGGTGATCGACTAGTCCTGTAAACTACTGGTTGTTTGTCCATGTGGTGATCAACTAGTCCTGTAAACTACTGGTTGTTTGTCAATGTGGTGATCAACTAGTCCTGTAACCTTCTGGTTCCAGATTTACTAGTTGTTTGTCCATGTGGTAATCGACTAGTCCTGTAAACTACTGGTTGTTTGTCAATGTGGTGATCAACTATTCCTGTAACCTTCTGGTTCCAGATCTACTGGTTCTTTGTCCATGTGGTGATCAACTAGTCCTGTAACCTTCTGGTTCCAGATTTACTGGTTCTTTGACCATGTGGTGATCAACTATTCCTGTAACAACTTGTTCCAGACCTACTGATTCTTTGACCATGTGGTGATCGACTAGTCTTGTATCCTACTGGTTCCAGATTTACTGGTTCTTTGTCCATGTGGTGATCAACTAGTCCTGTATCCTACTGGTTCCAGATTTACTGGTTCTTTGTCCATGTGGTGATCGACTAGTCCTGTAAACTACTGGTTGGTTTTTGTCCATGTGGTGATCAACT